AATGTAGCCTAACTTGGCATGTTTTTGTTACGCATAATTGCTTATTTTATTGGCTCTATCTGATTTAGATATATGTTAACCGGTGTTGATCATATACAGAAATTTAATATACATACCAGTAAATATATACAGTATATATCTCTCAAGCACACTTTTACAAACTCAGGCAAGGGCAAAGCTGTCAGTAGCTGATTAATGAGGATTATTTTGTATTATGCAACAAGAAACTCCATGTCAGACATGGAGGCGTCCTTTTCAGCAGCTCTGTCTCTCACAAACACTGTGCAACATGCATCTAACAGACACGCATCTCATCATGTTTCTGTTGCAGCACCATCTGATCTGATTCCTGTACAGAAATAAACTGACTTTGAGCTGCTTTGGAGCTCTGCTGCTGCTGCAGAGCGGGTCACATATAAAGGTTCACTGCGGCCCACAGGCCTTCATATCGATCCGTGTGTCTGTGTGGAGCTCTCTCCAGAAAATTATAAGGCTCAGCTTACCGCCTGCCTCTCACAGCGCCAGCAGACACTGTTTAAACCAGACAGAGAGACAGACAGACAAACGGACGGGTGGACAGACAGACGGATAGATAGATAGATAGACAGATAGATAGATAGATAGATAGGATCATGGGAAATGTGTTGTGGGAGTGAGATCGTCTGAGGGGTGTGAATGTGGAGAGAGAGAGACGGAGGGCTGCTGTGCTCCAGCTTTGTCTTTGTGAAGAAAGAGAATCTCCTGGGTGATTTTCACAGTCTCTCTCTGTGTGTGTGTGTGTGTGTGTGTGTTTGTGTGTGTGTGTGTGGCATTGGCATTGAGCAATATTCTTCAGTGTCTTCAGATAATAAGAGGACTAGGATAAAAACCATCAATATTGCATGTCATAATCACGAAAATACACAACTATTGGGTAAAATATTTCATTTTTATTCAGGTCGAACTGTATTTTATTGGTTCTTTTTGGCATTGAATGAATTATAAGTAAATTGGAAGTATGTTTTGAAATTTGTGTGTGTGTGTGCGTGCGTGCGTGCGTGTGTGGGTCTTATAATCGAGTGCATACTGCCCAGTGTTATGTTAGTAATATTTATATAAGTTTTTATTAATATTTTTAGTATTTTTATGTGCTTTTGCTATTTACATTAGTTTTTTAATCTATTTAGCTTATATTAATTTTATCATTATTTTAATTAACCAGCCAGAACTGGACTCGGATCAGCCGAAACATTTAACCTTTCAACCCCGGTGCAGATTACTGACCCGCTGCCATGCTTTTATAATACAGCACAACAACCATCTGTTTCATTTGTGTTTATTCCACATCACAAGGTCTCAATCAAGTCACAATCAAGTTACTGATTTGTGGGATAAATAAAGCGTGATAAGAGTCCTGTGATAAAGGCCCAGTGCGTCACTCATTATATCACACCATATTACTGAACTGACTAAATATAGTCTCAGGACGTCTTGAGGCACGTCACAGAAATATATTTGTGTCTTCTTTTCAGTGTTATTTTGAACTAATAATAAATAATATTTTCCTAATCCAATGTAAATGAAAAAATGTACTATTACATTTCAAAATATTTTCAGTTTAGTATCATTGATATACTATTAAAGTTTTTGTTAATATTGGGAATTTTATTTTAGCATTTTATAAGTGATAAATAATTATTTATAATTTTCATTGTAAAGTTTTAGCAATTTTCTTGTTTTTTTTTTATTTTTAGTTATTTTAATACTTCAACTTAAAATTAGTTTTCATCGATTTTATTTTATTGTAATGCATGTATTTTATGTTATTTATTTATTTTTATTTTTATTTTTTGAAGTAATGAAATTTGTTTATGGTTTTAGTTTTCATTTTAACTAATGATAATATCCCTGATCTGTTGACATTAATTAATGCATTGTGAACTACCATGAACAAACAATTAACATTTTTATTACATTTTTTACAAAATGTTTTATTATTATTATTATTAAACATTAACAAAGATTAATAAAATGAATATATAATGACACAATAAATAAAATATATTGCTGATTGTTAGTTCATATTATCTGTTATCTTTATTATTACATTATGCTAAGCTAGTTTTGACCTAGTTCCTTAAATAACTATCTTAACTTTACAACCTTCGCCATATCCTGGAATCATTGCCACACTATATTGTCCAATAATAAGAGATTTGCATGGTTTTCATAGTTCCTCTCAAGGGAAAATTGTATCCCAAAGTTTAATAGAATTAGATGTTTGTTATTAAAATGATTTGAGCAATAGTAACAGTGAGTCTTGATTTAACAAACCCCACTAAATACTTCAAGAGCTCAACCCCAACTCTGATCTCATCCGAGTGTAAAAACACAGAGTTCTCCTTCCAGCACAGCAGGACTGACTGACAATGAGGGAGAGCTTGATTCAATTTCCAGCTAATGGAAAACCCCAGTGGCGTCTGTTTGAAAGGCTCCATTGCTCTCCATCCATGCTTCCTCTGAGAGCATAATAAGACTCATTCGGCTCTCTCTCCATTACAGTAAAACGGACATTCAGCAAATACTACGGTCATTCTGCCTCCGATCATGCTATTGAATGCTGTTATCAGTTCTGTCCCATGATGCACTGCTCCATAAGTCTGTTATTTCTCCTGTCATTCCTCATACCTGGAGCGTTGAGCTCCACTACACCTCCTAATTGATTTTTCACACTATGAGCTTCTGCTTCTCTCGGCTGAGCACTGCATTGATTTTCTCAGTGTCTTATGCAAGATCACGTTGTCATTTATTCCCCTCACGTCTTCCAGATTATGGACAATATTGCCTGAACTTCACCTCGCATTGTGAGGTCACCGAATCGGTGTCTCCTGTACTTTACAGCTTCGCTGTTTTAGGATCTTTGTCTTAATTGTCTGTTTTTCAGATATTAAATCCATGGTTATTATCATTAACTAGAATTAAACATTTTTGTTAATGGAAATAAAAGCAGAAATAAAATGAAAAAAAAACCTTAAACTAAATGAAAATTAGAAATGTTGTCTTGGCAGCTATACCTGAAATAAGTTTAAACTGAAGCAATACAATTATTAACTGGGAATAAATAATAACAATAACTGAGCTAAAGCTAAATCTAGAAAAATATATTAAACCTAAATAGTAATATCTATTTAAAAACATAAATATGACAAAAGCGCTTAACAAAATAAAAATAAAAGAAACTAAAATTAAACTGAAAATCTAAAAATAAAAGCTAATTTAAAATATTAATAGTATCATAGTATATAAATAATACTTACTCTCAGATCACACATATAATCTACTTTTTAGGTAAGGAAACTTTAATATTTGACCTTATCTACCTTAACTATATACTAGAGCATGGACATCTTAGCATATGCTTTTGGTAAAAATGGCAAAACAAGATATTTCACATTTAAACCTGGATTTCAAGCACTGATGTGAATGTATTACAATTAAATATTACAATTAAAAGTATGTGCTTCACTATTGATTTAGTACATGCTTTGGATTGTGATAGTACACAATACTATTTTATAAAACTACAATGGTCCACGAGGAGTGGTAAAAATACTTAGAAAATCCACCTTAAATAGTATTTTTGGGCACTTTTGAATTACTATAAGCACAAATCTAAATCACAGATTTCTTTGTCAGGTACGGTTTGTGTTTACATGAAAAGTGTTGGCATCTAGCTAAATTCATTGCCTTAAAATTAATTACCATAATATTTCACTTCTAGATTAAAAACTGTTGGCATTGAATTCCTCCCCTTTATTATACAACTGAAAAAATCTTTAATGCAAGGATTTCTGAGAAATGTTAGCCCAAAATAACATGCACAGATGCATACTTTTTAAATGCATGCTATATTAAATGTACTGTTATTTGGGATTGTCTAACCCTAATATTGCACACTATTTACTATGTTTAAGGTACAAATTGTGATGCATCCAAACGTGTTTCTTGCATGCATTTTATGCATGAATGTATTCCTTAATTAAGCATTTTTTTTCCCCTTCCTCAGGCATTCAGCCAGGCGTACACCACTCAAAGGAAGGTGGCTGAAGACGGGGAGACCAATGAGGAGACGCTGCTGCAGGAGTCGGCCACTAAGGAAGCGTACTACATGGGCCGCCTACTTGAGCAGCAGGCCGAGCTGAAGAGCAGCCGATCACAGGCGTCCTGCACGGAGGCCGAGAACGAAAGACTCAGCACCATCCTACAGGAGCTGAGAGAGGTCAGAAACTCTCTCTTAATAAACAGCGTAAATCCATTATTGGTTTGACATCGCAAATGTATCCCCGTATTCAGGTCTGGTGTTGAAATCTTTCTCTGTTTCCCCCTCTGTGTCTCTCAGAGTAATGAGATGTTGGAGTTGCAGAGAAGCCGCATGAGAGAGGAGATCAGGGAGTATAAGTTTAGAGAGGCCAGATTACTGCAAGACTACACTGAACTGGAGGAGGAGAACATCTCGCTGCAGAAACTGGTGTCCACGCTCAAGCAGAACCAGGTAAACACACTCACAGTTACCGCCTTTACACCGACACAGTTCTGGTGAGCAGTCTAGAACCATTACACACATTTCCACTAAAGAAAAGAAGGTCCTAGGCCAGAAAAAAATGTCTTTGCACTGGCCTTAGAGCAAAAAAAATTATGTAAGTTGATAATGTCGTCACCAAATACATTTTTCAAAACAACAACAGAAAACTAGCTGATACAAAATTAGATCGCTTCCATTATATGCAACATGCATTCAGTAGACAGACAAAATGTTACTATTTTTGACTTAATTTTCCCCATCCATCTGTAATTCTATTATAAGTATTATTATTAAAATTATAAATATTACGTGTGAATTGATTACTTTATATTGTATTTCTTTTTATATAAATTTATTAAATATAAATATTAGTATTTTTTACTTTAGTAAAATATTTTTTATTTATAAGTACTGTACTTACATATTTTTATATTATATTATACATATATTTAAATTGATATGTAAATAGTTATTATATACATTTATGAAATTATTTATATATATTTGTATGTTACATTATATTATACTTATTTTTTAATTCATATTTAAATAGCTTCTGACCAATTGATTACTATAAATTTAATTTTTATATAAATTTATGAACTTATAATTATGTCTTTACATATATTTTAAATTATATTTAAGTTGATATTCAAATACCTTGTGACCAATTAATTACTATAAAATAAAATGTATTTTTATACATATTTATAAACCTTATAAGTATTTATATTTTTATTTTACATTACACATTTTCAAAAACTTCTGACCGTTAAGTCACAGATGGCATACATACACTAAATTATATTACTTTAAATGTTAAAATAAATTCTCAAAACTAGGCGTAAAACCTTTATGCATCATATTTGTTTGTGGCAGGTTACGTAGAAACAGTCTCGGATATTTCCAGATTCAAAACAAATGGCTATTCTCTGTTCTATCAGGTGGAGTATGAGGGCTTGAAGCATGAAATCAAAGTTCTGGAGGAGGAAGCAGCCCTGCTTAACAGCCAATTAGAAGATGCGCTGCGCCTGAAGGACATCTCTGAGACCCAATTGGAGGAGGCTTTGAATTCTCTGAAAAGCGAGCGAGAACAGAAGTATGCTCTGCGCAAGGAATTAGCACATCATCTAACCGTGTGCGACGGGGGTTTCAGCTCAGGCTGTGCCCACCTGATCGCCCTGACCTCAGCGCCACCTAGTGGCAGTGCCACCCCGACAGCCGCCACATCGCCCAGCAGCGAAGACGGTGGCAAGTGCAACGGGCATCTGCTTCAAGGTGCGGCGGGATCAGTTTTGAGCCGACTGAACGGAGACTTCAGGCCATCGAGTTTGAGGAAGACTGAAATTCTGACCCCTGACCTCTTTAGTGAGCTCAATGGCCCTGAAAACCTGAAACTAAGACAACAGCTTCAGCAGGTCAGTATGAAGGGGTGGGGCCTATGTTAGCCACACCCTTATAATGAATATATAAACAGCATAAACCTATATAAACATTTCTATCAGCATGCATTCATTTTTACACAGCAAAGCTTTATGTTGCCAGCCCAGAGGTATAATAAATTTACCTCTTTAATATTTCTTTCATATATCCTTTGGTTGTTTTTTTTCTCTTAATTTCCCTCTTTTGAAACTTTTTAAACGCATCTTTCATGCTCAAGATCCTAAATAGTGACAAACCACTGCTGCATTGGTTTAGGCGTTGCTCTGTTTACAACGGGATGCTGCAGTGTGGGATGAAATATGAGACCACCATACACACTAATGAGCCATGCTACTAGCTTATTTATATCCTTCCTGTCACAAGAGGTCACTGTTCCTACAGTGCAAGTTCATTTGAGTCATATACATACATATGAACTTTGCATCTATGTGTTACCATTGATCATGCATTAACTGTGCAAAATGCACAGACCATGTCTGACTCACTTGTAAATTCATTTAGAAGAAACATATGAGACAGAGTTGATTAAATTAAGCATATCTCCATTAAGTCTCCTGAGCATTAAAATGCTCCTTTACATGCATTAGATTAAGTCAGGACACTACAGGCAAAACCATTTGGCTATTTTGTCTTCTTTTTCAGACTAGTGCAAGAAAACATCCAAAATACACATTTAAGTGTTTTTTTTATTGCACTTTATCTATTTGCATTTGTAGATTTCAATTACAATGTATATCTTTAAAAGCCATTTTTCATGCACTGAGCCAGAAATCTATATAAATGCAATATATAGCGAAAGAGAGAGAGTGATAAGAGACAGAAAAGTCCTATGTAAAAACCATTAAATGTAATATGTCAACAAAATGAAACAAGAATTTTGAACCTGGCTTTATCCAATGTTCAGATTTCTATTCTGAAAAGGTATGCAAATTAGTGCATATTTAATTGCATCATTTGCATATTTAGACATTTCAGAAAACTTGTAATACAAAACAGTTGTCTTACTGTACTGTGATTAATCAACTGAGGAAAGTATGGTGATATCTATTAGTTAAATAAGACCTTGTTGGTTGACCTGCCTCACCAGATTCACTGATGTTTTTCATGGCTATGATGGTTCATCATCTAGACCAGCATCAAGACTAACCAGTATACACCATATAAAGTCATTAGTTGACTTGTTTATTTGCCGCAGGTGGAACGTGAAAAAGCGTCTTTGCTCAACAGCTTGCAGGAATCACAGGCTTTGCTCCGTCACACACAGGGGGCGCTGACGGAGCAGCACGAGAAGGCCAGTCGCTTGGGCGAGCGTTTCCGAAAACTCCGCCGCCAGCGCAGCAGCAAGGAAACCAAGGGGGAAGAGGAGGACGAAGAAGAGGAGACATCATGCGTCCCTAGCGGCCAGGAAGGGCCGAGTCTGGAATTGCTGCAATGTAAATACAGGGTGGCTGTGACAGAGGTGGTTGGACTGAAGGCGGAGCTTAAGGAGGTAAAGGATAGATATAATGAGTGCGTGGAGGCAAGAGCACGGGCGGAGGAGCAGGGCAAGGCGCAGCTGCAAGCATTGGAGACTCAAGTGGTGCAGCTGGAGCGCAGCTGCAGGGAAAGCCGGGAGATGGTGGTGAATCTGGAACGCAAGCTGCGGGCAGCCAATAACACAACCTTGGAGACGCAGGGAATCCTGGGAACTGCCCAAGAAGAGCTGGCGACATTCAGTGAGGAGTTAGCGCAACTTTACCACCACGTCTGCCTGTGCAACAATGAGACACCAAACCGCGTTACGCTGGAATACTACCGGCAGGGCCGAATGCCAACGCGCATTTCCACCCCTGGCCACAAGGGGCAGGACGATCACCGTGTGCTGTTGACCCCGCGTCTCGCACGTCGTTTGGCGGCGATTAATGCCGCAACGTCTGCCGGGTCTCGTAGCCCGTCGGACTCACCATCCAAAGAACCTCTCACTGCTGAGCAGAGCCCAGTCCGTACGCCACTGGGTTCACCCGTCGTTAGTGCCTCTTCCTCGTCTTCATCATCATCCCCAGCACCCGAGTCGGCCACGGGGTCCGACCTCCGCCGTGAACCCACCAACATCCACCACCTCAACGCCATCATCCGTGACCAGATCAAGCACTTGCAGAAGGCGGTGGACCGCTCGCTCCAGCTGTCCCGCCAGAGAGCGGCCGCTAGCGAACTCGCCCCGCTGATGGACAAGGACAAGGAGGCCTGCATGGAGGAGATTCTCAAGCTCAAGTCCCTCCTGAGCACAAAGAGGGAGCAGATCGCAACCTTGCGCCTTGTGCTCAAAGCCAACAAGCAGGTAGGCTAATCAGCTCTATTTATTACCCTGCATCCTATTGATTGCCATGAGGCCTGCGAGTATTGAACCATGGGAGTCCTTACATTGACTTCTCATTAATGTTACTCTGTAACGTCTACATTTCTTGGTAGAACTGTTACTTTTCCACATTTTGCACCTACAGTAGTCTTGAGTACCAAGATTATTAACCATTGGCATTAAGTCTTGGTCCACTTTGCCACTTACTCTTGACTTCTCATTTCTTGGTAAAACTTACATTTTCACATGAGTTGCCATCCTTCACCTACAATAGTTGTAAAAATTGTAAAACTGTTACATTTCCATATAGGTTGCTATCTTTCGCCTACAATAGTCTTGCGTACCAAGATTTTAAGCTATCAGCATCAAGTCTGGTCCACTTTGCAACTTATTCCGGTGTCTCATTAATGTTGCTCTATAGCTTCTATATTTTCTTGGTAAAACTTAAGTTTCCACTTGAATTGCTATCTTTCACTTACAGTAGTCTTGCGAACCAAGATTTTCAACTATCAACATTAAGTCTGATCCACTTTACAACGTATTCCAGTTACCTTAATCTTATGTCTCATTAGCATTGCTCTGTAGCTTCTGCGTTACTTTTTCGCACGAGTTGCTATCTTTCGCCTACAGTAGTCTTGCATACAAAGATTTTTTTATACTATCGGTATAAAGTCTAATCCACTTTGCTACTTATTCTAGCCAAGAAATGTCCACATAGACAAGGACAGACAGTCTGATCAGACTGTTAAATGACTAACCATAATTTGTTTTTAAAGGGTGTTTTTATACCCCTTTTTACACCTCTGCAAGTTTTGGGCTGATATAAGGCGTGAACACCCCAAATGATCTCAGTCCACCCTAAAAAAACCCACAAATGAACCAGACTCAACCACCTCACTATTTGTGGTTTGATTCATTCATGCAATGTTCCCTTTTAAGTCCACTTACATTGTGAACACAAGTGTCTTAAACCAAACAGAGTAAAAGTCAAAGATCTGATGTCGCTAATCTGGCAAACATTGGCAAATCTAGCATTTAGTTCTTTTTAAAAGCTCCAGTACCTTGTAAACATGGCATTTCAGGCGGAGCAGTGCACCCCGACGGAGGCGTTTGATCTATAGCCAGTAAAATGAAATGTTGATGAAAAGGGACCATTATGTCCGACACATCATTTCTTTCTCTTTGTTGGCCACTGTGTGATATAAAGCATGTTGTATGACCCTTCCAGGCCAGAGATGATTAATGGACATTGCGATTTATAGATCCCACACCAGAGAGAAAGTGCTGTACTCTATGGGCCGCAAAGTAATTACTACATCCATTATTATGTGCAAACACACACAAGAGGAGTTCTTAGTTACTGCTACGACAAGCATTCAGTTGAATGAACAGTTCACTGAATGAAATTAGATCATGAATTCAATAAGGTATTCTTAAAGTAGGCCTTTAAACCAGAGCAATTATTTGGTAAATATATCCCATATATCAAAACGAACATGATGTTGAGCAGGGCTGCTATTATAATCCATGTGTAACCATGTGTTTTTGATTTAGAAAAATCAAATTGCATTCTTTTCAGAAAACACCTTAAATGTTCGTAATGAATCAGTGCTTTCTTATGTGGTCTATATTATATCAGCAGTGCTTAAATAACTTATTGTTAGCAGAACTAGTTGTTTGCTGGTTGTAATGCTCACAGACGGCTGAGGTGGCTCTGGCCAACCTGAAGAGTAAATACGAGAACGAGAAGACAATGGTGACTGAGACCATGATGAAGCTGAGGAACGAGCTAAAGGCCTTGAAAGAGGATGCGGCCACCTTCTCTTCCCTCAGAGCCATGTTCGCCACACGGTGAGAAATACGCAACGTAACACTATACTCAAAATTCATTTGTTTGCAGATCATTTCAATGAACCATACAAACGAACCAATACTCCAAAATAGAACATAGACATTACATAGAAGCACATTTTAGGAGAGAGTGTACAATCCAAAGTGACAAAAATTGTATTTTGTTGACCCAGCCATCCGCCCCCAACAGCCCACCCTCCCTGGAGGCCCCTTCGTCTCCCGCATCGTCTTCCTCATCCTCCTGGACGCCCCCAACCATGCCGTACCGCCACTGGACGATGGGCGTCCGGGCATTCGTCGTCGAACCGCACACTTACACCAACCTCCTGGCCCGTCGCTATGCAAGTGAGTCGCACTATTCCCCAGGCTCCGCCCCTTCCTCGCCCTACCGCTCGCCCCTATTGGCCAGTCGCCGCTCCATGTGGAGCTCGTCCCAATCCCGCCCCCTTCCCAGCCACTTCCAGCACTCTACGTCCCGCTACACGCCCCCTTCATCCACCTACAGCCCTTTGTATCCCAGAAACTACGGCTCCCAGCATCCCCGCTACTGACGGGTGCCGCAGAGAGGAGGACACACACTGGTTTCTGTGTTTGAATGTTTTGGGAAGTGTTTTCGTTTTTTTTTTTTACTCAGGGATTTAATGGAGCACAAGTGGCCCGGCCTTCTTCAAAAGAGACTGTTGATCAGTTCTCAGGACACTGTGTTCTCTGTCCCGATCTGAGCGCACGGACTGTTCAATTACACAAATGAGGGACTTTAAGACAGATTCAACAAGCTGTAATGTTAACCGAATCGGATTTGGTCATGAGTTGTTGGTGTGTATGAGAGTGAATGTGTGATTGTCACATGATTTGAACACTGAGAGCCAATTAAGTGGTTGATTTGTAACAACAAGATTTTATATGAAATGCTGATTGCAGTATGAGTATCTGAGAAAGTTGGCTATATTTGGAATAGAATACTAATGTAGTATATAACGCACATTGCATACTGTTTTTAAATAATACACTGATAAAAAATTACCTTTACTGACAGTTTACTCACCCTCAGGCCATCCAGGATGTAGATGAGTTTGTTTCTTCATCAGATTTGGAGAAATGTAGCATTATATCACTTGCTCACCAATGGATCCTCTGCAGTGAATGGGTGCCGTCAGAATAACAGCTGATAAAAACATCACAATAATCCACAAGTAATCCACAACAATCCAGTCCATCAATTAAAGTCTTGTGAAGCAAAAAGCTGCATGTTTGTAAGAAACAAATCCATCATTAAGGCATTTTAAACTGTAAACCGTCACTTATGGCCACTTAAAGTCCATAATAGCATACCCAATTTAAATTTTTGGTCGAACTATTCCTTTAAAATCTTATGAAATAAGTCAATAAAGTGGGAAAATGCAATAGGACATCAACTTTTTTGTATTACATACTGTGTACTGCATGCATACTGCAGTATGCTATTCCAAGCATAGCCAAAGTCACAGTGCCATCCAGTGGATAAACAGCGCAAATGTGGCCCATCCCATGTAATGGTGAGTGTGCAAAAATTGTTGAGTCACGTTTATAGAAATATAAGACACCATTTTAATTTGCAGTTAAGATCAGATTGGGTCAGATGTGAACTCATTAATGTTGTGAGTGCTTACAGGAACAGTGACGCTGCATTGAATGTATGTTAATGATGAAGTGATGCTATTGTCTAGATGACTAAATTCTCAGGGAATATCATTCATTGTCAGCTGTCTAAAGGTGGCAAATAACATTGCAAAGGTTTTTTTTTTACAGCACATATGATCTGCAGCAGTGATTTACAGTATAACAGATGCAGTGTTCATGACCTGTCTAGTCAGTGTTCTTCCGTTTGTTGCCATTTTATCAGTTGCATTGATGTTTTTGTTGCTGTTTTTACCCTTACATATTCACATTTTGGCAAGACACCATACTCCAAAACTCACAGCCAAATAACAAGCTGCCTGTTGCCATTTTATCAGTTGCATTGATGTTTTTGTTGCTGTTTTTCCCCTTACATATTCACATTTTGGCAAGACACCATACTCCAAAACTCACAGCCAAATAACAAGCTGCAAAATAGAGCAGAAAGCGTCACTTAGAAAGGGACGTGCATGGGCCCAGACATCTGTTAAATGTCTTTTCTGTCCAAAAATTGCTGTATTTTATGAGAGGTGCCTGTGTCCTCCCATTAAACGTCTTGTGTGACACTGACAGGCCGCACACTTGACTGGCCTTCTAGAGCCATATCAGATCCACACCAGCCTACACCACATCACACAGTGCTTGAAGCATTTGACAGGTATCAAACCCTCAACCCGAGCCTGCCATGATTTCCCTGCATGCCATTTTTTAACTGCTGGTTTTTGCTAAATACATTTTCAAATATTTATTTTTAAATAAATGGGTCCTTCTGCAATTGCTGTGATTTTTCCTATATAAAACAAAATGTTTTTTTAAATAATATTTAATTCTAGTATAAAATATAAATAATTATATATAATAAATAAAAATATATAATTTACATTTGATACATTTTTATACTAGAATTATATATACTATATATATATCGTTAAAATATATGAAATACATTCTAATTATATACAGTATACTGTAAGTACAATTTATTTCATATTTTAACAGTTAGCTATTTTACTATTGGATTTGTTTCTTGAGTTTCAGTAAATCGTGAGTAAAAAAAAAACAAAAAACTTTTCATGGAAACGTCACCGCTATTATAGAAAGACTCAATTCTGATCCCAATTCAGTGTTTAATTCATTATTGCTCACACAGGCCTCAGTATTGCATGAAATTGAAGTGTTAGTTTTAGTTTAGCGCTCTGTTTGTGACTTGTAGATCTAATATTACAACTATAATTAGGTGGCGATCTTTAAAAAGTATTAAAGAGGATCTTTTCTCTGTTCTTGCTGTTTTATGCTGGTTTCCTGCACTCAAGTCAAATCTGGGACTGATAAACAGGTGAAACTGATTCAGTTTGTTTTGGTTCATCCAGAGGGCTTCATGTAATTATCTGTGATCAGATGAAGCAGTTTTAGGGGTGTTGTTTTCAAATCAGGACAGAAACCATGTGAGACCTCCTCTCTGTCGCACCTGCACACCTGAGGCCTGAAGCACACAAACACGTTTGCACATGATCACATGATCATGACATCACTGCTCCAAAATCTGAATCTCAGTGTGTCGCCATCTCATTCAGTCCGACGGCCAATTTTAGGGAACCTGTCAAATGCTTCTTGCTTCCCGCATCACTTTCTCTTTGATTTTCTCTCATTCATGTCGCGCTGCGACGTCTGCACTAGCTGGAGTCGTAGATGAATGTGTTTTCTACTGTGTGTTACTGTAAACAGACACTTTGTGCAAATGCAAAACACTTTTTGAGGGCAGACTGTTATTCATGTCCCTGTCTGCTGTCATATGCATGTGTATACAGTACACGGCCTACAGCAAAACACTGTATATGTCTGTTGTGAACTGGACTGTAATGTTGTATATTCTTCATATATACTGTAAATAACAGGTATAAATGTGTCTGGCGTCTGCGTCCTCACTGTTTTTATCAATTGTCAAAGCATCAAGCAACATTCAATTTGAATGTTTTAAAAGAATCTACTGGAAAATGCACCTGGGAACAAGGTAGCTAGCTGTTCCAAACTAGTTTAAATGGTTGACAAGGAAGCATACTTGCTATAATGTCACAATAGTGAGGTAAGTAAAAGCTGTGTCCCAATCTCGTGAATTAGAATATTAGAATAAAAACATTCCTATTTCAAATAAATGCTGTTAGTTTGAACTTTCTATTTATCAAAGAATCCTGTAAATAAGATATATGTTGGTATCCACAAAAATATTAAGCAGCACAATTGTTTTCAACATTAATAGTAATAAATGTTTCGGTAACACTTTACTTGAAGGGGGCAGCAAATCAGCATATTAGAATGATTTCTGAAGGATCATGTGACACTGAAGACTGAAGTAATGATTCTGAAAATTCAGCTTTGACCACAGGAATAAATTACATTTTAACATATATTATTAAACTATAATAATATTTCATAATATTACTGTTTCTACTGTATTTTTAATCAAATAAATGCAGCCTTGGACAGCAGACTTTTTTTCATAACATTTAAAAAAAATGTTACCAAACTTCTAAACAGTAGTGAATATTATTTTTAATTATAAACAGAACTATATCATAGTACATTAAACATAGTATTTCAAAGGTGTCTTTATGTTATATTATTTTGTGTAGGTTTTTAAAGTGCATCCAAGTGACTCGTGTATTGATATGAACTTAGAATGACATTAATGCATTTCGATGATAATGCTTACATAAAATGCAAACAACAGAATTTGCGTGTCCGGGCAAAATTATATGCCGCAGTTCTGTCATACTGCAAAAGTGTGCACAAATTGGGACACAGCCTATGTTTATTGTCTATGCTGCTCTTGTCTCACTGCTCTATTCTGCCCCCTAGCCGTGTGAGAACTAATCTGTCAGTCTCTTCTAGATAGTCAGTAGCCTCCTCCTGCCTCAGTGCCACAACGCTACCAAGAACTAAACACACCGGACCCTGTTAACCTACAGGTAACCAAGTATGGAGTTGCTTTTTGTTCAGTATAACCTATTTTTATACACTACTGTTCAAAAGTTTGGAGTCAATCATTTAGTTTTTTATTTATTCATTTTTTTAAGAAAGAAAGAAATGAATATGTTTCTTCAGCAAGAATGCATTAAATTGATCAAAAGATTGAGAAAAAAAAAAAACTTGAGCAGCAAATCAGCATATTCGAATGATTTCTGAAGGATTATGTGATACTGAAGACTGGCGTAATGATGCTGAATAATCAGCTTCGCATCACAGAAATAAATTGCATTTTAAAATATATTCAAGTAGAAAACAGTTATTTGAAATTGTAAAAATATTTCACAATTTTACTGTATTTTTGGTTAAATATATGCAGCCTTG